ATTTTTATTCCCACTATTTTAAAGCTTCGGTTCACCTAGCTGACAAATATTAAAGGACATCTGTGTATGTCATTGAAACAACAGCATCTGCATAGCATTTCACAGAGTATGTAGTATTTCACATGTGAAATACTACATACTCTGTGAAATGCTATGCAGAGGCCATAGCACCAAAAATGGTGCAACTGAGATATAAAAAGTTTACCAGAAAATATGTTTTAACATAGATAATTTTGTACATATTTTCTGGAAGAGCTAGTAATAGTCTATCCGTCTAGAATGACTTTTATCATCATAAACAAAAGTGCCAAAAAACGACCATAAAGTACATTATTTATGAGCTAATGTGCATCAAATGCACATATCTAAAGCATAAAATAAATACATTTTGTCCTTTACTAAAACCAGAAAGCCATTCTGAACGGACATTTGCCATTCTTTTTAAGCAGTAAAATCACTGCCAGGGTCTATCCACCTTTCCTGTCTCACTCTCAAGTGCTTTTTCCCCACAGCAGTGGATGATGCCGAGTGATCCTGCCGGAGTTCAGGAGAGGCGGCAGCACAGGTAGCATGTGCTGCACCCCACTGACTCTGACTGTCATTTTTTAATCTATTCCCAGGTCAAATAAAAACAGCCCTGAAGCTTCAAACATACTTCATATGGAAAGTCAAACAAACTTTCAACATGGGTTCCTTTCTATGAAAGAGGCCAAAATCTTTAAAGAACACGTTTGTTCTTTGCGAATGGATTGTAAAAGACTTTTCTCTAATAGTTTGTGCACACAAGCCTTCACACGCAAAAACTTTTGTCTGCATTTCTCAGGTAATAATGTCTGCAGATGGGTTATTTTTTCGGACAAGTTTCAGCAGTCAAACAACACCAGCTAACATTTGGTAATGCACTAAAAATACGCACAACATCCAGTTCTGACTAAATCAAATCCCTTTAACAGAGTTCCTTAGAAAAGCAAAATTTTATGCAGAAGAGAACATTTCTAATATTTTTGGCAAGAAATTAAGTAAAAACTGACATAAAATGGAAAAGTTCCATTGGCTTCTGAGATTTCCCTCAGCACCCTCGGAGCCAGGCATGTAATGGCAGTATGAACCCTAATAACCGGGGCTAATGAACACTTTTAGAGTAGCCAGCAGCATCTCAAGTCACATTTTTTCTTTTCCTCCACAATTACTAAGTGAAGAAATATAACTAAACTATATAGAGAGTAAAAAATACTTCTAGATCAGGCACAAAGCTCAATATATGGCTATGTGACCCAGAAGAAACAGACGTACATACACTAGAGAAAGTATTTCTTTCTGTGAAAAGTAGGTTAAACTCACTGCATGTTTAACACTCATTTCATTTACACAGTTCATACCCTAAACGTGAGGATGACTGATTTTGCATAGCTGATAAAAATTTTTTATGAGACCTTTCGCAGTAAAACAAAAATGCAGATTTTCATCCTTTGTAATCGTGGGATTTTGTTATGAAGCCAAAATTACCACTGTAATTTCATATATACATAGATCTCTCAAAACCTATACCTGAGAAAATATTCTCCTTTATGAATTTCTCTATGCAGATCTGTAAGAATAGACAGCAATAACCTCTATAAACATGTTGTTTGATTAAATATTTACCATTGAAATCAAATATTCCGCCAGTTCGTAATGATCAAACAATGCTGTCCTGTGGGGAAAAAATGCAAAAATAGATTACAATTAGAATGGACAATGAGTTTTCAAAGTAAAAGTCAGTAGTTTTTCCAATTGCTGAAGTTTTCAGTATTTTCAAATACGCACCTTTTTATTACAACAGAAAAAGCGTGATATAACTTACCACATATTTTTTTAACAATATACTGTTTCCATTCTTGTTATTCACTTTTTGTGTCAGATCTTTTGCTGTGTCACACAACATCAATATAGAATTTTACAAACTTCAGACTCAATTTGTTCCATGCAGGCCTAGAGTCTCAAATCAATTTCACTAATCCAATCACCAAAAAAAAATTCTACATACTTTCCTAAAGCCAGGGCTAAGATTGTAATAATTCGGCTAAATGTGTATCAGACTGTGACAGGAATTTCCACTCCAAAAATAAGAAAAAAAAATATACTGCCTGATAAAAATGATGGTGACATTTCTTAATTTTCCTGCTAAGTTTCAACAATGAAGTTCACAATGAGCAACACAGCAGTACAGTGCCAAGGTTATTCTGTACCTCGAAGATAACACTTCCCTGAGCACCACTGGAAGTAATAACACAGCATACACTACAGCTGGAAGCAATTACTCAAAAGATGGTCTTTAATAATAAAGGCATGGTTCCACACGGGTAGACACACCTCCAGTATCTATAGTGGGCCTCTCCAGTCACGTCATGCATAAATATCGAGGGTTTCACACACTCCCAAAGAAATTCCAAGGGGTCTGAACAGAAGGCAAAAGCATTTTACAAAAACTCAGACAGAAACATGACATGAGGAATGCGACTGAATCATGTCCAGCCTATATGTTTCTTCACTGCTCTCACCAAGATGAAGTTCCTCCTTAGTTTAATTATATTCTAAGAGATTCAGATGACTTTCTGAAATTCTTGATTTTTTCTGTTTCACAGCTATAGGGAGCAAAAAGTATCATTCATGATTGTCCAGAACTTTTTCCTAGGACAATCATTTCCATAGTTATGATGGCCAGACACCTAGTAGGTTGCGAGGCTCCAACATGTTTGCCCAATTTTCTTTGGTGCTGTCATCACATGGTTTTCAGCAGTGTTTTACCACTGTAACATTTCCAAATGCACCTAATCTTTAGATTAACTTTCCAACACACCCCACTTGGAATGCCTTCATTGACTATAAATTATTCCACTTTAGCCCCACTACACAAAGCACAAGCATAACTACTGCCTCCAAGTTTCTACTATTTATTTCATATTGTAAATCTCTTTGTAGAGTAACAATGCAAAATTATTACACTCTATTTAAGGTCACTGCTTACACAGTGTCTTTCTTGCAATCTTTCTTGCAAAAATTCATACATGATGAGATAAACAACTTTCCATAAAGCAGGCAGACAACACATCTATGCGCCTTTCTCTTACAGAAGACTAGGAAAACTCTACCACAGTTTTTGCTCTCATTTCAATAGATGTTAAAAGCTAGAAGGTTGTTACACACACACACAACCTTTGCAGGCTATCATCTACCTTTACCTGATCCGGAACTCTATGATTAAAAAAAACAAAGATTACTGTTGATATATATTTTTTCATCTTCTGGAGAATATAGGCCCAGTTGCATGATGTTTAATGCCCACTTGTTCCACAGCGTTCAAAGATGCTGATTCACCTACTAATTCTTTACTAGATTAAATTTTCAGTAAACGTTCAGCGATTCCTAGGCATAGTTCTGAGATAACCAGATCATATCATTTTGATTTTTATCTCAGCACAAAATCTTTAATATTTTGACCAAATTACTGTCTGCTTTGTGTGTTACTAAGATTATCTCTCACTCCACAGAAAAGTTCCAACACACGTGGAAGGTCTCCCACTTGTTATTTACTTTATACAAATATGTTATATAGTATAACTGGATGCTGTTAAAATGGTGGGACTAGTTAGGGACATCCTGGTTCACAATTTATAAATTCTCCTACCTGTGAAGCAGTGTTTCCTTATTGCCATCCACAGCATCAATGATAGATTCCTCACCAGCATAGGATGACATCATTAACTTGACAATCTCGGTTGCTCCTTGAGTGGCAGCAAAATGCAGCGCTGTGCATTTTTCGTTCTGTGCATGGGACAAGAAAACAACATCTGGACATTGCCTAAGTTCCAACCTATTAAATATGCTAGTGATCTAGCCCAAGATCCTAGTTGTCTATATTTCTACACAATTATTTTTAATATTCTTAACTTTTCTGGTACTATATTAGATGTCTCCCTTAAATATTCCCTGCAGGTTTATTATAAGTAGCTTGGTGTAATACATTATTGAACAATCATAAACTAAAATAATGTATCATAAAAATTATTAAACAGTTAATGATTGGAACAAGATTTGCCAGAGCAAGGTGTCATTCAGCTAGATGGGACAAACTAGCTTTGGAATGTGCCTGAGGGATTTTATCCTTGTGCATTTCAGGAAACGCTTCCCTGAATGAATTGGATTACAGGTCAAGGCATCTTCACATCCCATTTCTAAGGATGGATGCTAGCAGGTGCATTGGAAGGAGCTTGTGAGCACGGGGAGCACTGAGCAACACTTGTCCATACTGCCCTCCCAGCCCCTATCAATTTATGACTCAAGACTATCAGAGCCACAGAGCATCATCTCTTTGTACTTGCCAGATGTAGGTGGCTTTTTCTTTCATGCATTTTCCCAACTGCTTTTTGAACCCATGCCAGCTTTGCAAACCCTCTGCATTCTGGATAGCTCGTGTAAAGAAAGCAAAACTTTCTTTCACTCCGCTGCCCATTTTACCTGTTTTAGATCAATTTGGGCTCCAAATTCAATGCACATTTTGATCATTTCCAAATCTCCACTTTGAACTGCCAAATGGAGGGGACTGCACTTCCCATTATTGGTAAAATTTATGTGAGTTTTAGCAGAGTGACCTAATTCTTCACCTGAGAGATGAAAGAAAATGTAAAATTTTAAATAAGAACAAGGTAACATAAAATACTAAGGTCTTAAAAAATGAGTATTTTAATTTAGGAATAACATTTCTCCCCTCAATATAAGAACATTTCACACCTATCATTAAACAATGAATGGGTATACATTTAGGAAGCCAGTTAAGCTGTTGCTGCAATCCCAGAAAAGTGACTCAAGCAAATAATTTTGCCCATGGGAACAGCTGTGTTAACTTCTTGCAAGTTCAGTCACATATGTAAGTGCTTCCTTGTGCAGCTCTTTGAGAGGTAAAGCAGAAAACTGGCAATGTTATTATAAATACTAAATCTCATCAACTGATTTGGGACAAATTATTTACCTTTTTTTAAGAGAATTTCCATACATGTTTTTGCACCTGAAAATGCAGCTGCATGGATAGGCATACATCCCGTTTTGTTTGCTTTACATATTTTCCCTCCATTTTCAATCTGAAAAACAATCCTTAGATGTAGCTTAAAGTGATACAGAAAATTCTGACTAGTAAACACATTGTCACAGATACAGTTTCTATTGTGTCCTTTTTTAAAAAGTACATGCATTTTAAAATTTATAATCATTTTTTTCACAACACAGACAGGACTTAGAAGTCCGATAAACAAGTAAAGGAGGTCATGTATCGGTGTTTTTTTTTCCTACAGTTTTCAAAATCACAAGATCTCAGTTTTGCAAAATACATTTCTCAAAATATACACACCTCAAAAAGCCCAAGAGTTTCTGGCACTGTTTTTTCAAGTAAATTATAATCATTTCATTAACAAGACTTCTTCAGGCTGTTTTAGAAATGTGTAAGTGAAAGCATGAATAAAGAATGGCATAAAGAAAAATAAAACACTTCTTTAATGTAGGAAAAATATACTTTTTTTGAGCTTTAAATCATTATTATTTTTCCCAAGAGATGCTCCCTTTACATAATGGACTGTGGTAATACAGCAGTAACCACTGAACATTTATCTGCAGTACAAACATCTCAGGAAATAAAAAGCAGCACACTACGTAAAGCACTGTAAATATTAAGCCCTTGATTTGCATGCAGGTTTCCCTCACTAAACCAAGAGAGAATACAGGAACAGAAGAACATTGTGTCAAGATAAGCAGAGCCATGTTAAAAGGCAACGGATAGTTTATACCTACCAGGAGTGTCAGTGCTTCAGGGTTATCCTTGTAACACGCTACAATTATAGGTGTGTTGCCTGCTTCACCTTCCAGATTAACATCTGTACTGCTATGCTGGACTAAAATCTAAATGTTTAAAACAACACTGAGTCAAGCATAAGCCAAACACAACAACAAAAGCCTATTCCATTACTGCTGCTGTTTGCCACACATAGTTGCTCCTATCATGACTTGTTCTATTTGCACACCAGCAGCCCACACAAGGCAGAGGAGGAACAAAATGATTTAGATTTTAGATTTAATGAAAACAGGGGCCCTTACAGCCTTGTATTCCTAACGTGAGCCCTCTGTTTACAGCCAACACTGAGCTACCAGTGTTACCAAGCATCACAACAACTGCTTCCATGGTATTTTGGGGAAGGGATTATACGAATAACCACACTGCACCGTGTATTTATTCCTCTATCTAGATATTTACGCTTTTTATTTTTCTGTTTCAGCAATTCCAAGGAATTTAGTGCACTGGAGAAATGGCATGTTTTAATCACTCTTGGGCAATCTGACAACAGAAACCAAAGGAGAATTCACTTGAATAAACAACATAGCAGAGAAGAAATGAGAGGATATATTCTGTCAAGGGCAGAGCTCTAAAATAATCCAAATCCCAAATGAATAACTTTATTAGTCTAAACTGACCGTAAATTTGGACTTGGTAGAAGATTTGAGAACCACGAGATCATTCAATGCTGGCAGTCTCTAAAATAATTCTAATTTTTTTCAATACAGCGATATCAAAGCAGTCTCTAAAATAATTCTAATTTTTTCAATACAGAGATATCTTTCTCCTTCTTGTACTTAGATGCATTAGCGAAAGAGACAAATTTAAAGTAAAAATGAGCTGCTGTGGTGTTAAGGTTAGATTAACCTAGTTGATTCAAGAATTTTACAAGTTCTAAAATGCCAGTTACTTAAAATGGAGAAGAATTTTACAAGTTCTAAAATGCCAGACAGTTACCTAAAATGGAATGCAAGTTTTCTCACTATGTTTACTCAGATGATGAAAACATACTTTGTTTCTATTTTACATGTTTCAAAATAGACACCCTAGTAATGATTTCGTCACAACTTCTTCTCATTCTTTTACATTTTTTATTGAATAATGGCAAAATCAAAGCAGAAAAGTTATTAAAATATTTTTAAGAGCTATGCTTTCTGATTAAAACCCACTAAAATAAATAAAACACTAACTTATTTGTTTCACAATTATTTTTGATAGTTCTGTGACTCTCTGTGCAATTTAAATGAAAGCTTTCAGAACGAAAACAGTTAAAATACCAAAATATGTACTTAAATTTTAAGTACATTAAGTTTATTGCTAGGACTATTACAATGGCACACCTATCAATATCTAAATCAATAAGTTATTTCTTATTTGCTGAGAACACACAAGCCTCCCTATAAGCACCGTACATCCTACTTGTTCCACAAAGCACACGAGGAGCTACGCCCAGGACACAGCCATATAACCAAGTCCTTGGGGTCCTGCATGCAGTTGGCGAGCCACTTATCAAGTTCGTTTACTTACGTGAACTTCAGACTTACCTTAACAATTTCATTATGCAGGGACTGCACAGCCATATGCAAGGGTGCCATCATGTTGGAGTTGAGAATATTCGGATTGGCTCCTCTACTGAGGAGTAAACTAACGCTTTCCACCTGGTTCTTCTTCGTGGCCCAGTGCAGTGGTGTATTCCCAGAAGAATCCATCACATTTAATACTGGCTCAAAGGAGAGAGAAGAAAAAAAAAAACACACAAAGCAAAGCTGTCAAATGTTCTTATCATACTGAAAAAAAGAATGTTTTCAACTGAAGTTTTACTCTGGATTATTGCACTGCTTGAAGTGAAAAATGAAGAGGCCCTCTGCAGCCAAACTGCGGGTCATAGGCACTGTCACATTCAACTTATTGTGTCCAGAACAACATATTGTTTAGAGAAAATGTTCTATTAGACGTATGGGTATATTGAAATACAGTGAAAAGGCTAGGAAATACCAATAAAGCCTTTTGTTAGATTGTCTCAAATTATAATAGTGGAAAGATCAGAGGGGTACAACAACTGTCTTATTTCTTCCTCGATATTTTACTTCCTGTTTTTTCTTTTTTTTTTCCAAAAATCTTGATTTTCTTCTTTGTTTCTTCTCTTTCACATTTTTCTTTGAATTTGCAGCTATTGCTTTAATGGACATACTGAAGAAGTGAGTCCAAATAACTCAAATGAGAAATAATAAATAACCGGTCGCAAATTATTAGATGACTGAAAACCAAATCTTTTCTGATTCACTTAACACCATAGAGGTAAATCAGTACATGTTGATGGGAAGTTGGTCTGGTCTATACATATAATCTGAGTTTCAAAATTGGAGATGACCTTCAACAAATACTCTGCAGAATTAATAAACTGAAAAAAAAGTTCTTCAGGCTGAAAATTATTTTGATTTTATGAACTATTTTATTTAACAGAATAATTAAGTCCAATAATATAGTACCTTCACAGGAAGAATCATCCATGATCATCTGCATTAATTCTATTTGACCTCCTTCTGCAGCATGATGCAGGGGGGTAGCATTTAATTCATCCACTTTGGTAAGCCCAGAACGATTCTTCTTAATGAAGCTCCGCAGCCTGCACGCACTTCCGTCTGAAATCACCTATTTTGGATACAAATATTCTCATTTTTATATTTTCCTAACAGACAAGATGTTAGTAGTGTGTGGCCGATGGCAGTTCAGCACTCTGTAATTCTCCCTCAGCTATGCAGTTTTCACAGAGAAGCACCCAAATCCTGCTCAGTTAAGCGAAACACAGCAAAACACAGATTGATTCTATGGATTGCAAAGGCACATCTCCAGGTAAAGAAAACAGCAAAATTAACAAAAATGAAAACGATCTTGTATCCTTTATTTTGATTTCTGTAGCGAGATCAGGATCCTCCCTCCACCACAAGAAATCCAAAGAAATTAACCAAGCAAATTTGTCACTTGCATTTTTCATTCCCTCTGCAGCTATGGCCCAGTCAAATGAATTCAGCGAAGAGAAAAAATGAATAATCTTGGTAATTTCCTCCTCTAAACCTTTCTAATGAGACTGACAGTATGAGCAATGCTATTGAGTTCAGCCCTTGGGGCTCTATGATGTTCCACACGTCAGGGCAAGCCACAAATCCTTTAATTTACAGCACTACTCCAAGTGTGTCCCATGGGCTAATCCTCAGCCTGAAACAACCACGGTCTGTGTCGTATAATGTAAAACACCTTCTGACTGCTCAGCCCCCTGCACCTTCTGCTGCATTTTGTGACCACAGCACGCTCTGGAAAACCTTCTCATTCTTATGATGGGAAGTTCTCCTAGTTGCTTTACTACAGCATTTCAAAAAGCATCGTTGTTAATGAGCAAAAGAGAGAGAAGGAGCGATTGCAATGCAATGAGCAGGAAATCTCAAAACAAGTTATTAAAAAGATCAAAAGGGAATAAAAAAAAGAAGAAAAATAATTCAACATAACAAAATGTGAAACAAACCTTCCCGAACAGAAGTAAGGAAGCAAAGCAAGGAAAAAAAGGAAATCCCCTAAATCACTGTTCTCTCCTCAACTGCCAAAAGAACAAAACTTTGGTCTCCAGTGTCTCTCAAGCCATAAAAATGTCAGTTTTTGCTTTCATTAAGTGAACATACAATATGGAGCTGCTCATGTTAAACTTCTTTCTGCTAACTAGTCCCACTGACCGCAGTGAGATTACTCATGCGAACAGTGTTACAAACGTTTCTAAATATTTAGAAGATTGGGGCCAAACACATGGATAGCATCCGCTTCAAAAGTACAGTCAGAAGATGCTGACAGAAAACAGGTGGTATCACCACTAAAAGGGTATTTAATGAGTCAACAGTCATAATAATGACGTCTATTATGTACACAAATATCCACACATTTCATACCCACCATAAAGGAAAACATTTTACAGCCCTATATATGTGCACAAAATATCTTTTATCTTGTCTTTTATTCTAACTTGATTCTAACTGTAATGAATTTTAAATCTTTTCATTGATTTAAACCAGATTCTGCCACTAATTACATTGGAAGTTTTTGTCAACATTAAGAAAAAATGGGGCCAAAGCTTTGCACAATGATAACTTTTACTAACACCACCAATGAAAAAGATATTTTAGAAAACACTGCTGTGTTTCCCTACCAAAATAATAAAGGAAGAAATCCACTAGGTTTTCTCAGTGCCTTCAACTCCTGGAAGAGCAAAGCAAGAGATTTTGAACGAGAGCAGCTCCCCTGTGTTTTATCTGCATGGTCCCTCGGTGGCAGATTACCCACCGAAGTGACACCCATGTGACACAGAAGAGCTGCTGCTCACAACATCTGGCCGCACGTACAGAAAATGAGGCTGGAAACGACCTGGAGGGGTCACCAATCCCATCCACATTGGCACGTTTGCTTGGTCTGGTCTTAAAAACCTCTGAAGTTGCCCAACGTCTTCCCTTGCTTAATTATTCCCAGCTACAAAACAGTTTTAAAGTGCTTTCCCCGTGCCCACGCTTGTTGCCCCTATGCAAATGCATCATTCCTTGTCCTGCACGGACTTGGGAACGGATTACATCTTTCTGGGGGTCAATGTCGTATTTACAGATCACAACAGCATCTCCCTTTCAGCTCATGGCAGCCCCAGCTCCTTCAGATTTCCCTTCTGGGACATTTTGCCCAGATTCCGGCTCACTCGCGCTGCTCGTCTTTGGAGAGCCCCGTCCGAGATGGCTGCCCCCTCCCCTCCCGCCACGCGCTCCAGACACCCTCGTCCATGCGACGACGACGCCACTTCACGTGGCACCTCCGGGCCCATCTCCCACCCTCCGGCCGCCCTTCCCGCGGCGCGAGGAAGGACAGATCGAGGAGGGACCGATCCCACCGCCCGTCCTCCCGGCGCCCCCTCTGCCCCGGCGGCTCCCGCCGCGCGGCCCCCCGC